CCTTCAGTCCTAACAAGCCTTCCAAAGTATGTGTATTTACTAGGAAAGGATTCTTTGAAGTGAACTCACAATGGTTGGAAAGACTGCAATCTCTACCCTTTCCTGTGAGAATAGGATGGACATATGTTCATAAAAGGAAAGACGAGGATCTGAAGCAAACACCATCCTACCTCTGCTGAGCTTCAGAAACTCAGCCCAGTCCTGCTAACATCAGGATGGAGCCCCAGGAAGCCCCTTGTGCTGTGTAGACAGAAGAGGATGCATCCTCTGGTGTAGACAGGAGGCTGGCTGTAGAGCAGCAGGCAGTAGCCCCTGTAAATCTGCTTCGTATTGGGTGTAAGATGCTTTCCCACAGCCCGAGTGGATCCTGGGAAGGCAGTCTGGGCAGAATTCTCTTGAATAGACTTTGTTCCAGAGCACTGTTGGAGAAAGTGAATGACTAGAACAGGAGCTGAGGAATCCCAAGAGGTCAGTCAGGAAGCCCAAAAGTTTTGTTTCACACCAGGGAATGAAATGTGGTTTCCTAGTGCTTTCTCAATAACCCAGAAAAATGTCCCATACAAGTTCTAGTAACTGGATTCCTGCCATACCAAAGGGCATTTGAGAGCCAAGGGAGTGTTACAAAAACTATTTGCTATAGTTGGTTTGAATCGCAAGGTCACGGCTCAAGTTCACCAGCTGCTCTTTGGAAATGCTACACAGAATCACGGGTCAGAAACAGCTCTACGGCACTTAACAACTATATATTAGCAAATTGTCTTTTGCCTTTTTCTATCAAACCCCAGGCTCTAGGGTAGCCAGGAGTTCACAGTGGTACGGGGGAACGAAGCAGGGAGAATGAGAGATCATCCTATGACTTCTTGAACTTCCGGGTAACAGGCTGAACTAAGGGTAGAGAAGAAACACTTAAGCGAATGAACTTTCAATTACAGTGGTCTGGACGTCTATCTCTAATAAAACAGTAAGACTTTTTAATACTCAAACATTACAATAAAACTATGAGTTCTTCCTAGGATGCAGATTAAGGGGCAAGGAGGGAATATTCAAAGGATATTAATGGAAGATAGCCGTGAAAGCAAAAATAACATGACTCATTGTGCCTAATCAAGTCTGAGCCATTCAATGACATGATTACAGAAAAAAAAAAAAAAAAAAAAAAACGATCTACAATGAGAAAAGAACCAAGAGACCTACCATAACTTGTATGTTATACATAAACCCCAATTTCTATAGTACCTTTCAGATTGGAAAATCAGAACACATCCACTTGTTTGAGGCTTATAAGCCCCTGGATCTCTATGCCCCATTACTGAGATCCTTGCCGTGCATCAGGATTCTGGACAGAAACATGGCCATCCCACCATTACTTATTAATGCCACAACTACTACACATATCATTTTCTAAGCATCACTATTCCTGGCTTTCACTTCTGTGAGTTTATAAAATTCCTGTTATCTAAATTCTTTAGGTATTCCCTATACTCTACAAAGTTATTACTACCACTTACTTATTATTATATATTTTTGATCTCTTGATAAGTAGAACAACCCACATTTACCTTTGAGACCAGGTCTCTGAGCATGTCCTATTAACCTTTCTACAAATGGTCAATCAACTAGCACAATAAAGTGGCTGAGAGCTCTTTACAACTAGCTACCAACCAAGTGGGCAATGCTGAGCCAGGACAAGCAAAGCAAGTATGTGAAAAGGGGACAACACAGAAAAGCCTCCAAGAAAACTTCAATCAATTCCACTCTGACTTGTAGTTAATGTCAGTTGTTTAATAACTTTAAGAGAATGTGAATAATGCCTTTAGAGATTCAGGAAGAGGTAATGAATTATTAATATGCGAGTGTGGGGTGAAATGTTTAATGTAGCTCTCCTGGCCATATTCATGTAACTCGGACCAGACAAGTGGGTGGGGCTATACAGATTGGGCATATTTCCTCTTTGCCTGATGGGTTTGGGTAAGAGAATTTTGCCATCCTGCTGGGTATGAAATAAACCATGTCAGAAACAGGACAGGCCTGGCTGAGAAGCTGTCTTAACCAAAAAATATCCTGAGCATTTCTGATCCTGAATTGTAACCTGTAAATTTGCCTAATATACCCCATAATTGTGAGTTCTGTCTGTGATCCACAAAGAGAGAGAGAGTACTGTTGGAAGGGAGAGCTTGCATCACAGGTGGGTCAGAAGGTTGGAGGGTGGAGGCATGTTTGACTTCTGTCTCATAGGAATCAATCTTGGGCTGATTTTGAGTTTAATTCTTCTTTCCCCTTACAAAGTTAAGAAGTGACTGAACGTAGTCCACTCCTTTTTACACTGAGAAACTGAACCAACGAAATAAACTTAAGGAATTAATAGTATTTATGGTGTGGCGCCTAAGATAAGCACTCGACCTCAAGTTCAGTTTGAACTTCAAGGTTGGCAAATCAAACTTACCACCCACTCCTTGGAAACCCTATACAGGGTTGCTATCAGTCGGAACAGAATCTACAGTACTTAACATACTAGAAAAAACAAGATCATTGACTATAGGGTTGATATAAAAATACTGTTTTATTTCTATATTCCAGCAACAAACAATAAAAATGGAATTTAAATAACTGCAAAAGCTTCAACTATATCAAAATCCCAGGAGTAAGTTTTACGGAAGCTGTACAAGATTTACATAAATAGGAGTCACTTTACATCACCATCACATAGATTTCTTCCTCCTCGTCTTCCACCTGTCCCTCCATCATCTTCGTAATTCTTGACAATGTGAAACCTATTTCTTAGTCCAAGAAGCAGAATCTGAGATATAAGGACTGGACCTTAGGCAGTTGTAGTTGCTATGTGCTGTTGTTAACTCTGAGTAACAGTGACCCTCTAGGACAATGTACTACAGCCGCAAAGGGTTTCCAAGGCCAAAATCTTCATAGAACCAAACTGTCTTATCTTTCTTACACATAGTGGCTGGTGGGTGCCAACAGCCCACCTTTCAATTGGCAGCTGAGCACTTAACCAATGTACCACCAGGGCTCCTTAAAGGCCACTCAGCTGTCCCACTTGTGGTGTGAGTGGACTGAAATATTATCAACATATCTGCACACTACAGATTTCTCTGGGATCTTTTCATGGTCCAAGCATAGATCCCTAAGGGTTCTCAATAGCTGCCCAGGGGATAACTACTGTGACAAAGGTGCAATTAAAAATATTTACTAACAATACCAAGGGCAGTTGCTAAAAGCATGGGCTTGTAAAAGTTAGACCTTGAGTGAGCCAGGGTCTCCCGCCATCATCCCAGAGTTGGCGTATGAAGTCTCACTGAGGCATCCTGCACGACACCCAGTAATGGTAGGGATTATGAACTGAAAGGCAAATAGTGATACAAGAACTCTGAAGAGAAAAATGCAAACAATGGGAGAAAACTGATCAAACTACCATCGAATAAATCCAGTAAGATTTCAAACAAAAAGCACCTCTATATATTTGTACAAGATGGCCTACCATCAATGTACACAAAGTATTCGGCACTTAACAACATAACAACAACAATATATTTGTACAAGATGGCCTACCATCAATGTACACAAAGCATTAAGAAATGCCGTTTTGGGGAAATATTTGTTTACATTTTAAAATTTGAGGTTATGAATGAGCTGGAAAGATGTCAGCTACCACTAGGTGTTGCTCTAGAGTTGTGTTCCTGGCTCTTACTGCAGATCTGGATACCTATATCCTCATCATGCTTCTCAAGTCTTTCCTTGGCTTTTTCTTTTACTGGAGGAAAACTGAAATAAGAGACCTAATTACTGGTAGCACAGTGGGCTGGTAACAGCAAGATCAGCAGTCCAAGCCCACCAGTCACTGCTCCATGGGAGAAACCTGAGGCTTTCTACTCCCATAAAGATTTGTGACCTGGGAAACCCTACACAGGGGCACTATGAGTGGGAACTGACTCCTTGGCATGCAGCGCAGTCATCACCAAAACATACTAAAAATAAAACTCATACTGCACACCAAAGGTAAAACAAATGCTTTTATTGCACATTTATAAAATCTGCATAGTTTAATCAAGTCTTCTACCCTCCCACCATTCCTCATTAAAATTTGGTTAAAATACAATATTCTACCAGAAAGCTTTTTAAAGAGTCAACAGGGGATATCTTTCTCTACATATACACATATATATTTATTTATATATATATATATATATATGTTTTAAAATTTTCTTTCTACAAATCCACATCCCATATTTCTTAAAGGGGAGAAGGGATCAAAGTATTCTTTTTTGGGCCAGCAGCAGCCTACACCTGTTTTTTTTAATAATTTTCAGACACTATAAAAATTTACCTATATGGCTAACAGCTATCAAAACTTTACCTTGAGTCAAGTTTCATGATGCTATTCTGTATAAAAGACCTTTCTTTCACTCAGGACTGAATATGAGGTTTTCTGGTTTATTTAAAAATGTAAAATAAAAGGAGAAGACAAAGGATGGAGAGGCAGTATTCTCTTGTCTTTTCAGCCTCTTGCTGCCACACGGACCTTAGTGCCCACCCACCCTCGTGCTAAAGGGTGACAGCTCAGCAGCACCCCGTTCTGTCATCTCCTGTCAAGAATCAGGCAAGGTTGCTCTCTCACCTCTTAGAAACTCCAGTAAAGAATTTTTAAATATCATTAGTCATTGATAAAATAACTAGTAGCTGCTCATCTGATTCAGGCTCTGCTGTCAAAAATACTTAGACCTGAAGGATGATTTAAAAAGTGGTACAAGACTTAGAAAGCCCAAGCATTCTAGTAGGTACAAAAGGCATTTCATGTCTTCTGACATACATCAGTATCTAAGTATACCGGTTCCTGTCTTTTCCAGTAAAATAATGTTTACAATTCTGTACCTAAAAAGTGCAATTTTATTTGTAATCCTTCTATATGCACACAGCATGGGTGAGGTCTAAAACCCAAATCTTGTTTGTCCACTAGTTCCTTTCCCAGGGTAGACACTGTGACAACAGGCCTTGGAACATGTAGGGGTGCTTACTTCACCGCCACAGTTGAGACCCCCTGAATTGATTCCATGACAGCCGCAAATCGGCTGCAAAGGTCATAGGGAGAATTGGGCCGGATAGTCGGAGGCTCCTTCAAGACAATGATTTCTGCAGAGGGATCCAGGAGCCTTGGCAGAAACTCCCCTAGACACAGCTGCAGATTTTCTGTGGAGGGAATATGGATGGTTACATATCAATAGTTAAAATGATCTCCAAGTGAAAGTAAACCTGCAACGACCCTGTTCGGCATTCAAAGTAACCAACCTCTAAGGTAAAGAATGATACTAGCCAGCTAACACGAAATGACAATCCCTTTACGAAAAACCAAGAGTGAAGACTAACTTGATAACTATTTCTAGGTTACTGCTTTAAGCCATCTGATGTACTGCGGAACACCACTACAGTCACTTCCTCATGGACAAGTTCCTCATCAATCATCCTTTTTAAATTGGAGAAAATAGATATGATATGACTCTACAGAATAAACAGTGCTACTTTCTTTTAAGCAATCAAAATACACCAGCCATGTCCACATGTTATAAAGGAATGCTAAGTACATACATAGCTCTGGTAGCATAGTGGTTACGAATCCGGCTGCAAGGCGCAAGGTCAGCAAGTCGAAACTACCAGCTGTTCCTCAGGAGAAAGATGAGGCTTTCTGCTCCCATAAAGAGTTACAGCCTCAGAAACCCTGTACAGGGTCACTATGAGTCGGAACCAACTCCACGGCACCCAACCAACCAACCAAGTACATACGTGGCTAAATCAAAATTTAAGACAGTAAGAGGAAGTAAGTAACTACTCACATTATTAAAGAATTTTCCAATAAAAACTATAAACTCAAACAAGCCAATGAAATTATTTTTGCATCATATTTACTTTAATACACTAACTTCCTAACTCACTAAAAGGTAACAACTAGCTAGTTTTAAGCTCCCTCCAGAGATGGACAAACAATGATATTCCACTGACTAATTTATTAATCTTGAAGCTATCATGTTGTTGTTGTTAAGTGCCGTGGAGTCAGTTCCGACTCATAGTGACCCTGCACAGGGTTTCCGAGGCTGTAAATCTTTACGGGAGCAGAATGCCTCATCTTTCTCCCGCGGAACCACTGGTAGTTTCGAACTGCTGACCTTGCGGTTCACAGCCCGATTCATAACCACTACACTACCAGAGCTCCTTCATAGTTTAAAAAAAAAATTTTTTTTTTAATCTTACAATTTGAAAATCACAGGAATATTTAATTATGGTATCATCAGATAATTCAACTCTGAATAAGTTGATATTGAATTTTTAAACTAAAAGACAGTTCAGATGAAAAAGTACTAACAAACATTTGATGGTATCTATGGAGGCACTATAGCCGCACAGGAGGTAAAGGGAAGCTAAGAAGGAAAGACGTCCAGGCCCCCAGCCCTTGTAATAAACAAGAGCAGATCCATTTGTAATAAATAACTTGTATACTGTGAGGGTCCTATGCCTTAAAAAGGTTTGGCAACCAGAGAAATGGAATGAGACCTACTGTCATAAGAGAATTCTCCAAGTCCTTAGAGATGATTAGAATTCCTGACAACATACCTGCGATATCTTGCCCAAGGTAAGAGCACCAATGGTTTCTCATGACCTCAATGGCATCCAAGTCATCCTTGGAGATATCATTATTAATGATAAGGTGAATGCAAGGAATGATCAACTCATTCATAACATTAATGCCCTCTGATACAGACTGCTCATCATTTGTCTCAAAGAGAGAAGCTGCTCTGGCATTCAGTTCCTAAAGAGAAAAGGCAGAGTGAAACAAAAGTCTGAACAAGAATAGAGTTTCAAATTCTCATGGACTCTAGACCTTTTGGAGCCATAGAGGCTGGATGAACCCCTAAAACTGCTGTCCTGAGATAATCTTTAAACCTTAAACCGAAACTACCCTGAAGTCTTAAAACCAAACGACAGTTAAGCTTAACTAGTAGAAAAATAATTTACCATGAGCATTACGCTCTTTTAAGAATTCTCTATATGGGATCAGGTTGACAACAGCAACCTGAAAGGACAGGAAGCTGGTGTGGCACTGTACAGTAAGAGCTGCACTGCTAACCCCAAGGTTGGTAGTTCAAACCCACCAGCCACTCCTCACAAACCCTATACAGGGTTCGCTAGGAGTTGGAATCGACTCGACTACACTTAATAGCAACAACATAGAGGGCAGTGAGTTTGTTAATGAGGGAGGAACAATTCAGAAAAAGAGGATGAAAACAGTTCCACAACTCAAAATATATATATAAAATCAATGTCACTAAATGGTACATTCAAAAATTACTGAATTCATGTGTGTTTTGGTGGGTATATTCTCAACAACAAAACAAAACAAATTTTGGGGGGAAGTCCAAACATGACAAGTAAGAGGTGCTTCAAAAAGTATTTGGGAAAAATGGAATGAAGATGGAATTTTCTACAAACTTTTGGAAGCATCCACATCTTTTTAAAGAGAGCCTGAACAAATAGTTCCCAAACTTTACTATATTGGAATTGCCTGGGGACCTTTAAAAACTACTGGTAATTGGTTCCTACCCTAGACATGCTGATTTAATTGGTTAGAGGGAGACCTGGATATGGGAATTTTTTTCAAAAGCTTCCAAGGACACAGTCATTACTTTTAAAAAGTTAAGGTCATATTTAGCATCTCCCTCTAAATCAAGACTAAGTCAACATCAGAATCATCTGCAAAGGAAGCACTGTTGTACAGGTACCTCCCCTAAGACTGGTTTACTGGTCAGAGGGGGGCCTAAATATCACTGTGGGCTTCCTAGGTTGATTCTGATGCAGCAATTTCAATAATTTAAATCCCTATTATTGTATTGGAATCCTGGTGTGGGGCTATAGGGTAAACACTGGACAGAAAGGTCTGAACTACAAAATTGGAAGTTCACACCCACCAGCTGCTCCTCAGAAAGCCTATATAGGGTTGCTATATATATATATTGGAACTGACTCAATGGCACTTAAACAACAACATTCCTGTATTGGAGTCCCAGTGTGGTGATGTAGGATAAGCACTGGACTGATAACCAAAAGATCAGTGGTTCAAACCCACTATCCAACTCTCTGGAAACCCCATATAGGGTCACTATGAGTCAGAACTAACTAGAAGGCACGTAATAATAACATTACTGTATTCCTGTGGAAGCTGAGTGGAACATTCACAATGCAAATGTTTTTGGTGATAAAAAACAAAACTCATGGCTCTAATAAGATTTAGATCTACCAAATCTGCAAGGCAGGCCCAATTTTCAACTTCATGCACACCTACTGATTCAGAAATTAAAATCCTAATAAGAAAATGAATTCCTTTAGATGAATATGTCATGACTTAATCACCACAATTGGTGCTACCAAGACCAAGGCAGTGGTGGAGATGGTGGCCTGAATTCTTCCATGAAGAGGGAATCTACTGAATATTAAGAAAAAGATACACAAGCCCACAATCTGAAGGTAAGGAGCCTCTATATAGTTCTCTGATGGAAAGCCACCTATATAAACCCTTGGGCACGCAGAGAGGATATGCACCAGTCTTTCCACATGGCTGCCAAAAGCAAAACAGGCCAAGCAGAAATTAAGACTTTACTGGTATACTTTTTTTAAAAATTGGAAATTCTTAGAAGTCACTAAAACGCTAAATGACTAGCTTGGCCATTGAACACTGAAAATACAATGCATTTATTTGCATGCTTCCTGCATGCCAGGCACTGAGGACACAGCTGAGTAAGAAAACAAACCTGTTCTCGAGGACCTCACAATCTAAGTAAGGAAGTAACAGCATATATGCTATACTGCAGGCATGGGTGATTCATTCACATCTAACGTCCATCAAAAATTGAAGGATGGTATTCTCTTAAAGTAACTTAAAGGAACTGTAGTGAAATATGCTAGAAAATTTGGAAGAAGTCTAAAACCTGTTGGTGATAATTACTTTGTTTTTTAAGTTCTATATTTGCATGGCTTCCTGGGACAAGGGAAAACACAGTAACAGAAAAAAATATATAATATGGCTTTGCAAATGGTACAAACCAGAAGGCATTTTCTTCGGTACAAAGCAATCACAGATTCCTTCACCCCTCGGCGGGGCCCCTTCATTAGCAAAGCAGCATTGCTCTGGTAAGCATATACCAGGTATGAAAGTGCCTCTTGGTACCTTAGAAAATAGAAGAGAAACAACACTGAGAGCTCTGTCCTCCAAATCTAAGGTTTAGACCTCACTGTTACCCAATATAAGAATCTACAAATGGAAGTAACAAAACACACTTGGAAAAGTGTGAGGGCTGAAGGCTGCAGCCAAGTCCCAGCTCTGCTATAAATTGTCTGAGAACCCAAGGCAAATCATGACATCTCCTTGGACCTGTTTTTTTCATCACAAAAACAAACAATTGGAGTAGGTGCTGACTAAGGTCCACGCCAACTGGAAAATGCACTTTCTGAGTTCATCTTCATTGGTCAGAAACAAAGCTTGGCACAGCAGACCTTGATGACAATATGTCTGTCCACATGGGAAACATGATAAAGCGCGTGTGGTGTCTCGAGCAAACAGAAGACAAGCACTGAGAACAGCAAGTGCACCCTGGCTTGGTGACAAGGGACACCACTGGCATATGGCTGTGGTTCTTAGGATTTGAAAAACAGAACATCCTGAGCAATAATCTTAGTGAAATAAAAGACCAACATACTTTCCTTTTTGATAGAGTTCCAGACCTGTTAGGAGATACACAGACACCTTTCGAAACAAACTATAATCTTCATGCCACTTCTGAAAAGGAATGACTACCATTAATGATTATGACCACAACAGACAATTTCCATACCTACTCTGCAGTAAGTTTTAAATTCAACACAAATATTTATTGTTCAGTAAATTTATTGTTCACAAAGAACTACAAATGCAGAAGCTTTCAGATTAAAACCCTATCCACACTAAAAATAAAAGTCTATCTACCCTTCATACTAATCTCCACATACTGTCCCTTCTACAGAGGTACAGAAATAATTGCTTTTATTTCACAAGATACATTTGATATGAGTTTTAGAATTATCTTAATTTCCAAGTCAAAGTCATTCAGCTATGGCTTAAATGAATGACCAAGTCTCAAGTTCTGACATGTGATGCAAGGACAAGGCAGTTCTACGTCACACAGAGCAGGAAGTGGGCTGGGCATACCATACCCGAACCCACTGCCATTCAGTTCATGCCAACTCATATCAACCCTATGCTGCTATTGTCAGTTCCGACTCATAGCCACTCTATATAGGGTTTCCAAGGAGTGGCTGCTGTGTTTGAACCACCAACTAAAAGTGTCCATAGAGTTTTCAGGCTGTAATCTGTATAAAGCAAACTCCCACATGTTTCTTCCATTAAGTAGCTGATGGGTTTGAACCACCAACCTTTTTAGTTAATAGCTGATTACTTAACCATTGCTCAACCAGGACTCCTTGCTATACCATAAATGGCATATAATATTGTTTTAGGTAGAACGTAGTGATTTTTTAAAAAATTTATAGTTATATACATAAATATGGAGTCCTGGTGTGGCACTCCAGGATAATACACTGTAATCGCAAGGTCGGTTTGAACTGCAAAGTTGACAGTTCATACCCACCAGCCGCTCCTGAGAAACCCTATACAGGGTTGCTGTGAGTCAGAAGCGTTAGAAGGTACTTAACAACAACACACATATATGTATTTCAATGCACAATAGCAAACTATAGTATTTAAAACAACCTAAAATCATGATTTTAAGAATCTTATTGTCTAGGACATAGCTAAAGTGTCCTAGAGAATAAAATACTGATTCATTAAAAAGAAACCTGCTATTTTAAACTGAAGAAAAAAAAAATTTGTGTGTGTGTGTGTGGAGGGAGGGTGCTGTTGTAAGAAAACAAATCAGTCTGTGTTGACACAAATTTCCTGGCTTTGCCTCAGGTCCCATGTTGTCTCAACAATCAATACATATATATGCTCACAAACTAGCCAGAGATTTAAAGAAAAAGAAAGACTTCACCTTGTACTCTTCCATATTCATGTCATCTGGACCAATTTCCTTCAGTTTAGCTTGAGCCACCTTCATGATACTGATTGACCTATGGGGGAGGGGGAGGTGCACATTTCAGAAAGAGCACAGTGCAAAGTTACCCCACAGACACAAGAGTCAATGTTGCCAATGACAGGACGGGGTAGAGCCTGCCTCTCCCAGATATTCATTTCTCACCTTTCATCATAGCTAAGATTTTTATCGGCAAACTGTTCCAGAAGTGTCCGTTCTACTACCCTTTTGGGTGCTTCATTTTGGAAAAAGTAGACAAGGACATGCTGGAGTCGAGGATCACTGTGAGAGGTGGGGGTCTCCTTGGCGAGCTGATAGAGTCTGGAGTATTCTTCATGGAATGCCTATTGAAGACAAAATTGAGAGTTAGAAAAGGGGCCATTGAGGGCTTTTGCACACAGAAATTGATGCTGACATGTAACAGGTTCACTATATAGAGACCTCTAGGGAATAAGCCATAAGGAGCTCTGGTAGCGTAGTGGTTACGAATCGGCTGTGAACCTTAAGGTCAGCGGTTCGAAACTACCAGCTGCTCCACGGGAGAAAGATGAGGCTTTCTACTCCCGTAAAGATTTACACCCTCGGAAACCCTGTACAGGGTCGCTATGGGTCGGACCCGACTCGATGGCACTTAACAACAACAACAACAGGGAATAAGCCAGGAGAAATCACAAGACAACTATGGAATCTTACTATTAAGATCTCACTTTTCTTATGAAGTTTTTGGATGAACAGATATTTATTTTGTTTCAGGTGTACTTTGGAGCCTCCTTGATCTGAATATTAAATATCCACATACATAACAATGTCACTTTAAAAAATCTCAACTACTTCCTGACAGTTGTTGTGAGTTGGTTCTGACTCATTCTACAGGGTTTCTGAGAAGCAGCTAGTGAGTTAGAACCACTGACCTTGCGGTTCAGTGCTTATCCTACGGCACACTACCATTATGGAACCAAAATTATGAGGGGGCTTCAAAAAGTATGTGGAAAAATTTCCATTATCTCTTAATTCCATATTTCCATGAACTTTTGGAAACCCCCTCATACAAAAGCAAAATCACACTAACAATTCTATTAATAGATATCTGCTAACAACAACAATAACATAACACTCCTAGATATGCACAGCACAGAATGGTACTGCTAGCCAAGGCTGCCTTAGTGCAGGAAGAAGAGGAACATTCAGTCTTGAGGGACAGATTGCTCATTAGTTGGACAAGAAGGGGAAAAAGTCAATTTTTTGTTTCACTTCAAGTAAGAAACATTTTTAATCCCATGTTTTTCCTTCATACAGAATCACTGTTCTGATATGATACCTGTGTTTCAAGGATTAGAATTTGAAAACAGCGATACCTTAATAAGCCCTGCTTCAGACCCATCCCGGTCAAAGGTCTGGCGGGCTTTGGCTATGGCCAGGATGACCCCTTGCATGGCAGGGCTCAGCATCATCTACCACAGGAAGGCACGAAACAGAGAGAGAGAAAGGACAGGAGAAAGGTTCAACTGAACACTATGAAACAGAGGTAAACTCCTTGATCAGATCTTAAATCAGCCTAAGTTGCAAGTCAAGTTTCACATATGCATGAAATCTATTCCTATATATCCTCTCAAATATAAAAGGATTAACAAAAGATGTCTAAAAATAATTTTTAATATGGCACTATATCAGATTCAAGTTAAATTATAACACTCTGAGGGGAAATGTCTGAGGTGAGAATTCTAATGTAGTCTGTAGGTTGGGTATCTACATCCTAAATACACAAATATTTTAGATCTACTGCGTGGCAACGATAGTGAGGTTGGCCCAGGATCAGGCAGTATTTCGTTCTGCGGTGCATAAGGTCGCTATGAGTCGGTACTGACTCAATGGCACCTAACAACAACAACAAAGCTGGGTAAGTGTCTTTACAGCAATCTAGAAACTAGAGACCACACAAAAGACTTTATAAATGAAATCAAAACCTTTCAATAATTAAAAAAAAAAAAAACAAGAACAAATTCCCAACATCCCACAGGAAGAACAAAAATCTGAGGGGTATGACTCATGATTGTTTATGCGCAGTGATGACTGAAAAGGTGATAAGCAATGAATACTCTGAGGTTTCACGACTTCTTCCTAACACTTCAGAATTAAAAACAACCTCCTCGATACACACTGGTTTTACTCACTGGACAACTGACCGATAATTTATATTGAGGAAAAGCAATGGAGTATCACCAAAAAGACTCCTAACTTAAGATTTAGAAGGCAGAAATACTTTTTTCCCCAAAATTAAAAAAAAACAAACCTGAATGCCTCGCCAAGCCACCTAAGACTCTGCAGTGCGCACATGAAGTGTATGCTGAGGTAGATATATACTGGAACCAAGACTATAGTTTTCAGAATGATGACTAAGGTGAACAGACAGACCCTCTTGTCAATTACGTGTTCCAATGACAAAATAGTTAACTATTGACAAACACCTGAAAAATATATGTATTCAACCCCGTGAGAATGAAACCCAGACTGACGACAAACAGCTAAACCCTGCACTTGTGCTCTGTACCTCCTCATCATATCCATCTGCATCAGATCTAACCAGAATCCTTCCCACACTGGGAATCTCCACTTCAGAGACCTCAGAGTGAGGCTGGGCAGCAGACTCTGTTTCATTAGCCTTTTGGGGCTGTTCTGACTGCTCTGCAAGATTTGTTTCCTGGGGCATGGGCTTCTTAGGTTCAGCTTCCTTAAGCTGTGGCAGCAGAATGGAGAGAAAGAGCGAGGAAAAAAGGAGAAATGAAGAGGGGTTGGTTAAATGTAGCAGACACAGAAGAACAGAGATGTAAGAAATTGTAGCATAGCAAATTACTGCTGAAAGCCTGAGCCTCTTGGATTTGGACTTCTAAGCCAGTCTCACCTCACTCAGCGCCGCTTCTACACCACTCTTCTCATAGGCACGCGCTGTGTTCGCAATGGCCTGGGCAGTCTGCTCCTTGGCAATCACAGCATGCTCAGATGACAAACACCGAACCCCATGAGAAGAGGTTACTGAAGGTTCTGATGAAGAATGGTACAAAGGCATTAGCATCTGATAATTTTAAAAAAAGGCAGTCTAGCACTCTCTGATATGACAAGCAGGATACAGTTAATATAAAACCCTCCTAAACAAATCTTCAGAAACAAAACCAAAAACGATGTCAACTATTACTAGAAGAAGAAAGCCACTTCAGCAAGAACCCAATGACGATTTTATAACATGTAACCCGCCTCTCCCCACCCAACCCCATTTTATTTCACTCGACTCTTGTACGCCAAGAAGGCTGTCGACCAGCAAAGAATCACCTTTGAAAAACAGCAGACAGTCCTTGACTTACAACATGTGAGTCATGACAAACAGCACTTATACAACCATCTGTTTTTATGGGGACCTCTTATCTTTAGTAACATGTACAACCAATACAGATGTTCTCATCTTCAGATGCTCACTTGCAGATGTTCAATGTTATGATTCATAAATATACTCATAAGAGGCAGTAATAATGTAACCTTTTTTAAATGAGGCATTCAGCTTTCATCAGAACCTGCTTATGAGGGAGTGGAAGGAATGGAACCCTGAAACCCTGCCATAAATTGAGCCATTACCTGTAATGGAGAGGGGGCGGGGGAGTTTCAAAACGCTCGTGGGAAAACATCATTTCCCCACGGAATTTTTTTGAAGCCTCCTTGTGTTGTTAATGTCTACCTATTAATCTTAATGTTGTTTCTTCCATACAGTAGGTAATAAGCAAAACCCCACACACAGTAACAGTAAAAGTAGTTAAGTCTTTCTGATGTCATTTCTGCTGATCAGATACATTTGTGGTACCTTAAATTTACTTGATAATGGCTTTTTTTTCCCAAATAGTCTTCATTCCCACCAAGTGACTGGGTGGGACAGCACGTAAACAACGTGTACAGGACTCATACTGTGATTTTGTGTGTTTTTTTTTGCCATCCAGCTAGATTTCAAAGGAGCCACCTCAGAAGTAGAGACAGATGCCATCAGGAGCATGAGTGAAGCATAAGACCACTACCCAGAAAAGCAGTGACAGGAGATGACTGGGCAAGGAGAGACAGAGCAGCTCTGGGCTCTAGGCCCATGGACTGAGGGAAGCTGAATGCCTACAGGCAGAAGACTGGCTTGCAGAATGTGCCCACCGCCATTCACAAACTGGCTAAAAGAGCTTTGTAATACTTGTCAGAGCAGGGCAGAGGTCAAGTGCCCATATGGCTGAAAGGCCAAAGATAAGAGTGAGGTGTGCCTGCAATATGGCAAACAAGAGGCATTCCTGACTGGACAATGACTGTGTCCTCAGTTGGTTTTGATCCTGAATTGTCTGTCCCCTGTTCACTTCCCTGATAAACTCATAATGGTGAGTATTGTTATGAGCTCTGTGTGGCCATTGTAATGGATTGCTGAACGGAGATGTGAATCAGAGAGTGCTGTGGGAGGGATGCTTGATGTCAGTAGAGGGTAAGGTGGAGGCATGTCTGACTTCCACTTCATAGGAATCGGCCTTCAGCTGATTTTTAGTTTGATTCTCATTCCCCCTTGTGAAGCCAGAGGAAGTCAGGCATAGCCTCCACATGGTTTTTTTGCAACATTCTAAAACTACACTCCATCAGTTTGTACACTGCTGACTGACTGAAATACACTGCGAAGAGTGTGCTATCAGGTATTCAGCCAAAGTATCTGGACTTGCTCAGGGAGCACAACATGAAAGTTAGTAGATCACTGACATATCAGCTCTTCTCAGATACCTGGTGATGTACAGAAATCCTGTGACGGTGAATTGGGGGAGGATTCCATCTGAGGGATTTTGCAAGACTGCTCTTCTTCCCACTCCTCTACTTCCTGCTCAAACCTCCAGTTATCTTCCTGAATGTAATGCTTAAGCTCAACAGACAGAGATTCCAATTCTTCTAACATTTGATCTGATTCATTTGAGGCTGTCTCTAAGGAAGAAGCAGACAGTTAAGATGGCATACCATTCAATAGAATGTCCTGTCTAGAAAGGAAGACCTTTTATTATTTTTTTCCTCTTAGCCATAAATACATATTTATAACATCAGAATTAACAGCATAGTGCCAACAGTCAAAATATACCAATAAGAGTGCCGGGCATTTCACTAGACAGGCACTCATTAACATACTTCAGACATATTGTCAGGAGGGGACCAGTCACTAGAGAAGGATATCATGTTTGGTAAGGTGGAGTGTCAGAGAAAAAGAGGAATACCCCCAACGAGATGGACTGGCCAGGTGGCAGCATTTATGGGCTCAAGTGTGGCAACAATAGTGAGCTTGGCCCAGGATCGGGCAGTGTTTCGTTCTATTGTGCATAAGGTTGCTGAGTCGGTACCAACTCGATGGCACCTAACAACAACAACAACAACAACAAATGAGTTAATGAATGAACAAGTGAACTGATCAAAGAGAGTAAAGACTTGAAATAGAGACCAATCCCTGACAAAATAGCAAGGCCACAAACATTTTTGGGAAATTCAGAAAAAGGTCAGATTCAATGGGAATTTCAAGTTAAATGGTTCTGTCAATTTAACCACCTGCATTTGGTACTGATGAGAATGTCCGTCTCATGAGGGCTAGAGATGAATTCCAAGACATCTATAAAGTAAAACAAAAAACCGAGTAGATTCTGATTCACAAGACTACACGTGTGTGACAGTAGAGCTGTTCTACCTAGGGTTTTCAGTGGTTCATTTTCTGGAAACAGTTCACTAGACACCTCTGAGTGGACTCAACTGCCCAACCTAATAATAATACTGTGAGGAGTATGAAACCAGTTAAGCAAGTCTACTTGTAGTACCTGGTTATTCTACAAAGTGTGCAAAAATGTGTCTATAAGAATGTCACCAAAAAAGCAAGAAATGGAAGGCTATTTAAATACATTACAGTATAGCCATGCAATCGAATTGCTGTTTGTTTTTGTTAGGTGCTGTCGATTGGGTTTTGACTCATAAGTGACCCTATGTACAAGAGAATGAAACACTGCCCGGTCCTGTGCCATCCTCATCATTGCTGTCATACTTGATCCACCGCTGCTGTCACTGCACCAATCCATCTCATTGAGTGCTCCTGTCTTTTTCCCGCTAACCCAGCTCTTTACCAAGCATAATGTTCTTCTCCAAGGACTAGAACTTCCTGATAATGACTGAAGCATGAGCGAGAAAGTCTTCCCAATCCTGTGTTCAATAAGAGCATCCTTGGCTGCACTTCTCGCACCACTGATTGCTTTTGTTCTTCTGACGGTCCATGGTACTTTTAATATTCTTCTTTAACACCATAACTCAAATGTATCGATTCTCACATGGTCTTCCCCACAACTTTCACATGCATGTGGCTATTGAAAATATCATGGCCTGGGTCAGGTGCACCTTAGTCCTCAAACTGACACCTTTGATTTTAAACACTTTAAAGAGGTTTTGTGCCACCACAATACAACAAACTGACAGACAGGTGTATTACTGTGCAAAAGAATTATTATACAGTTATTTAAAAAAAAAAGTCAGTTTCATTTCTTAAAATACAGAAATTGTCAAGATATGTGATTAATGGAAAAGTTCCATATGGGCAAAAAATAGTGGAAGAGAAAGACAAATACAATTAAGCACATGCAAAGAATAATTCTCGAAGACAACATAAAAATCCTAAAAGTGAGACCAGGAGGTCAAGAGGGAAGTAGGAAAGCAAAGTATTTCTCCCTTTAATTCCCTTTTGTGTTGTTTTTGTTGTTGGGTACCATCAAGTTGGTTGGTCTTGCAAAACTCTTATCATGTGATCTCCAGTGCCATTTTTGTCAATGAAGTCTTATCTCCCACTACTGATCCTTCTTATTTGCATGTTTGATCAATTTCAGACTGCAAATGTTAGTTGTTGTTAAGTGCTGTCGAGTCAGTTCTGACTCATAGCAACCCTGTATAGGGTTTCCAAGGAGCTACTGGTAAGTTTGAATCACCAACCTTACAGTTCAATGTGACCTTGCGGTCCAGTGCTTTATCCTACAGCGTGTATAGTTCTTCAGTTACTGCATCATTAGCTTTAATGGTTGGTGTGTATATTTGAATAACAGTCATACTAACTAGTCTTCCTTGGAGGCATATGGATATTATCCTATCACAGACAGTGTTGTACTGCAAGATAGATATTGAACGGTGGACAGTATTCCTCTTCAATTTGTTATTCATTGCATAGTAGACCACATATCTGATTCAAAACGGTCACTACCAGCCCACTAATACCTAGGATATTGATCTTCATGCATTTCATTTCCATTATTATTCTTAAAATATATTCTTTTATAATAATAATAATATAGTTTACTTTTTTTTTTTTAAGTACAAAACTGTTCTTTTCTCTGGTTAATTCGATTTCCCCACATCTTGAGGTTCTGGCTAAGATATTTACCTGCATTGAAATGGGCCAGCTTGTCATTAATATACATCAAACAGTAAGCACTAACGTTTCTCAGGCCTCCGTAGGAATCCCTTTCAAGTTCTTCCCAGGAAGACTCAGTAACTGAGATGTCATTGTACTTGAGCCACATTTGTCGGGGTTGATTATAGATATAAGCCCAGTAGTGTCCAGCATTTGCTTGTCCTTCGTGAACAAGAACTGCATGCAAGCGGTAAGGCACCTGCGAATCAGAAAGCATGGCCTGAAGTAGGTAAGCAAAGTATCTGATAGGGTTTATTTTACATTATTAAAATAAAAATTACACATTAAAACATCTAATTGATTCAAGATGAACTAAGAAAAACACAACATTGTAAACCAGCGGAATTATGCCTATCTGAATCTTTAAAACTGTACATTTGAACTATATGGTTCCCTTTGAGGAGGCGTCCAACTCTACATTCAGATTACACATCGAAAACCAATGCTAACCTAGACCGATTTACTAATCTGTTTATCTGACAAACAATACCTTGACCACTCAGTTTGAGAACATATGAAGGGGCTTCAAGAAGTTTGTGGAAAGATTAAATTGAAAGATAATCGAATTCTTCCATGAACTTTTTGAAGACCCCTAATATTTGGGACTGTCAACAAGTTTGGCACCTATACTACTGTTCGATGCTTACTGTTTTAAATGACCATATTTCATCAACAATCAGTCACATGTTTCCTGTATTTCTTTTTGTTAGTGATCATTCCCCTAAGGAAGTTCAAGTGAAGACCCTTTTAACTATGTACTGTTTGTTCTAAACATTTGAAAAGCAAGGATATCTTTTTCAATAAGGCAAAAACAGAGCAATGCTTAATTAAGTACTCAGGATATACTGATGAAAGAAAACAAAACCCATCATAAACACAAACTAAACTTAACAGTACTTGACACATCTTTATTGGTGGTGAACATTTTTTTAAATACAACACCAAAGAAAAAATATGAAAAACTCAGGATATATGAAGGAACTTCTAAAAGTTCATGGAAGAATTGCATTACTTTTCAATTTCATATTTCCATGAACTTTTGACACTCCTCATATAGGATACACTCCTGCTATGCCACAGAACAAACACTGTACTCCTACAGCCAGAGAGCCCTCACTGGTGAGTCAGAGACCAAGGCAGAGGCTCCTTCTGTGTCTACAAAGTTATTCTAAACAAACGTTTCTGCCCTGGTTACCTCTCTTATGAAGTTTTAAGTTATTGAAGAAATGAAACTTATAAGCGTGCTGCAAAATGAAGACTTAAAAAATATCATCCTGCTTTGAAAAGGATGAACAACTTAGTTCTGGTTTTCCGCACTGCACCACTTAAATGATCATTTTGTGAGGAATTGTTATTAATATTTGACAATAAAGCTTTCCATTGCATAAAAAAAAAAAAACTGTAGGACAGAATGCTGTTTTAGATTCTATTGCTGGTAAAAGATATATGGCTTTCTTTGGCATAAAAATAAACATAACAACACCTATTTCTATTTTAGTTTATTCTTTTATCATAGGGAGATGCCTAATTAATGTCAAAGAAAAACTACAAAACGTTATTTTTGTATCTACCGTCAGCACCATTTGAACATGACTTGACCACTTTCCCATCAATTTCCATTCTACCTGACGAAGGAGAGGGTCACAGTACATCCCCTCAATAGTCCGGGTACTGTTCGCAATACAGTTCTCTAGGTCTGTTAAAAAGGAAAAATTGAAGTTAGAATATTTCAATCCCTGTCACATCAACAATTTCAACTAACCAAGAAGTAGTTGCTTATCTGTACCCAGGGTAGATACTCTATGAACCAAAAGAGACTCGACAGTTTTTAAAGTCCCTTAGATTATGAAGGCTTTTGGTTTAAGATCATTACACTGAGGATTTAAAAAAAAAAGTCTTTTATAACTGGCACCAAAATTTCGTAAAGCGGAAACTTCTAAAAGACCTTAATGGGTATAAAATATGTAAGTCCTGGAGAAAGGATCAGAATGGAAAACAAAGAACAAGGAGGTAGACAGAAGTTCTCTGAATAAGAATGTGGGAGGAATCTGAGTTTTCCTTCAAAGATTGAAGGAGAGAAGGTTTAATCTGAGCAACATGGCAATGAGGCCAAAAGATTTTTAGGAGCAAAATGCTGAATAATTCAATTTTATATAGCTTGTGTTGCTTAAACATTCTCTGCTTCATTTACAAAAAACCATAAAAGTAGAAATAAAGGAAAACAAAATTCTAAGGTTGGGTCAAGTGAAGCCAGGGTAGAAAGAAACAACCAACTAATCAGAAATCAGCAAAGGCAGAAAAATCCCAGCCGAACGTAGTCATGAAAACCTACCCAGAAATGTCCAGAAGTCTGGAGAAAGGCCTTTCTTCCCACCAATCTTAAGATTAGCACAAAGGCAGTTCTAATTACCCTCCCTTAAGGTAATGGTAGCAAGGAGGCACAAGGTGCTGACCTCCTAGTACTCTTACAAACAAAAAGGCAAAGGGTAACTGCTTGACAAGTTTTAAAAGCGCCAACCTTGTATATCTTGTTCAATCTCGCTCCTCCATCTCTGAAGACAACTCTTAACAAAGTTTATCTCCTCATCTGTGACTCTTCGAGGAGCTGGATGTATAGGCAATTCCACGGAAGACGGAGGTGTAAGTGGCTTACTCTCAGACTTGTGTTGACAATCTTCAGAAGAAGAAAAGGTACTTTCAACATCCTGAGAAGAGCTTTCTGTACTGAAGGAAGACAAAAACCATGGTCTTATATGACAAGGAACAGCTCTGGCCTAAATCAGTATACTTTGGAAAGCAAGCTTTTCTATCAAAAGTACAGTTATAAAGGCACTTAAATAAGCAAACTCTCGTCTCATTTCATTCAACTTGCTTATAGGGCAGACACTATTGCTATCTTCACTCTACCAGCTATAAACCTGAGGTTTGCTGAAATTAACAACTTAGCCAAGCTCACTCACCTAGTAAATTAAGTTGTTGTTGTTGTTATGTGCCGTGGAGTCGTTTCCGACTCACAGCGACCCAGCACAGGGTTTCCGAGGCTGTAAATCTTTACAGGAGCAGAATGCCTCATCTTTCTCCCGCAGAACCGCTGGTAGTTTCGAACTGCTGACCTTGCGGTTCATAGCCCGATTCGTAACCACTACGCAAGTAGGAGGATTTAAATCCAGATCTGCCTGGTCATGCTGTCTAACCACTTACTACAGTGCCTTCTCATGAGATAGGACAAGAAGGAAATAGAAAAGGCGAAACTAGGACTGGGATAATCAAGGAATCAACCACAGACTTACCAAAATGCAACTGACTAAAGTAGAACTACCCATCCAGAATCAAAATACACAAAAGCATAAAAATGGTTCACGAACTGAACATCCAGCTTAGAGGAATGCAAACGAGGTGGCACCTTGAAAGAGTATAGTGCGCATACTTAGATCAGACAATCCAAGTCCACTGATGTCTAGTAGCTTCCAACTCACAATTACCCTATAGTACAGAGTAGAATTGACCCATTGGATTTCCAAGGCTATAATCTTTAAGGAAGCACAGAATGCCATATCTTTCTCCTGAGGAGTGGTTGGTGGGTTAGAAGAATTCAGAAAACACCACGAGAACAAAAAAACAAAATAAATGAAAATTTTGAAACAAATCAAAACCTGCAATTAGAAATCCAGAAGATTAATACTAAGATTTCAGAAATGGACAATACACTGAAATGAAAATGGAATCAATTTGAAGGAATGGAAACCTGAATTTGTGAACTTGCAGATAAATCTCTCAACATTAGCATGCTAGAAGAAAATTCAGGAAAAATCAGAAGCCTAAAGTTACGTGTGACACCATAAAGAATATAAAGGTGATCAGAAGGGACAGTCAAAAGCACTGAGAAAACTGTCAGAGTTGTAGGAAGAAAAGTCCCTGATATCATGAAAGATGAGAAAATAAGAATGCAAGGAGCTGAGCTAATTACCTTAAACAGGACATGCCCTGAAAGAAAATCACCAACACGTAACATAAACAAACTTTCAAAAACCAAAGACAAGGACAGAATCCTGCAAGCAGGTTGGGAAAAACTGAAAATTACCTACAAAGGAGAATCAATAAAATTAAGCTCTGATTTCTCAGCAAAAACCACCCATGCAAGACGGCAACGGAATGACATACACAAAACTCTAAAAGAAAAAAGTTGCTAACTTTAGGCTGTCTCCATCTCTTTGTAATCAAACACAATATGTTGAATCATATACCCAACAAAGCTGCCTCTCAATTACAATAGGGAAATTAGAGCATTTCCTGATAAACAAATTAAAGGAATTTATAATGACCAGACCAACTTTACAAAAATAATAAAGGGTTTTCTTTGGACCTAGAACCAACAGCAGCAGACAGCCTGAGATTACAATACATGACACCACCCCCCAGAACTCAATCCAGATATTCTGGTGTTGTTATAAGTGCTATTGAGCTGGTTCTAACTTATAGCAATCCTGTATAGGGTTTTCCAAGGAGCAGCTGGTAAATTTGAACAGCCAACCTTGCAGTTCAAAACAACCTCGTGGTCTATTGCATTATCCCACAGCACCATACCAGGGCTCCAAATATACAGCTATTTAAAGTAAAACAAACCAGTAAGACTAAAAATAGGGAACCAGAGATACCAATTTATAAAATGAAGTCAACTACAAAACAAAAACAAGGAATAGTGTCAATACAGAACACCCAAATGGCGAAGAAGTCAAGCTGATTTCGAGAAAAACAAAAAACAGATTGTTTCAAATGGGGGAAAAATAAACACAAAATACATGGTAACCTCAAAGAAAATTTATATTTTCACATAAAAATAAAACAGAGGGAAATGATTTAGTAAACATTAGCACCACAAATGAAAATGAAAACAAATCAAACAAAATGAACTCGGCACAGAAAATCATGTGGAACAAAGAAATCAGCATCACACACACACACACACAAACATAAAAACCCCACAGGAGAATAACAGCAATGAATTCATACTTATCAATAATTACACTTGAGTGTAAAGATTAAATGTACCAACCAGTTAAGAGACAGAGAGTAGCAGAATGCATAAGTAAACAGGATCCTTCAATAAACTCTCTACAGGAGATATGTCCAAAAAATGGAGATAGCCTAAATGCCAAACACCAGAAGAATCGTTAAACAAACTTTTGTGTAGCACACAACAGAGTATTATTCAACATGGAAGAATTAACCATGAACCTGCAAAATACCTTACAATATGGATGAACCTGGAGGACATTATGCTGAGTGAAATAAGTCAATCACAAAAGGACATATTTTGTATGAATTCACTGTTTGTAAGAAGTTTAGAAAGGTCTTATTGGTAAAAGAAACATAACATTCTATGATAGTTACATGGGGGCGGAGAGAGAAACAATTTTTCACAGACTAGAGGGTAGACATATGCTAACATGGGTGATAGGGTAGGCAACATACAACAAGACAATGGTTGGCAGAGAACAAATGAAGTTAGTAGGAGATACAAAGGAATGCAAGAGTTAAAGTGCCTAGAGGTAAATGCTGTTAACTGATGATACATGGAGGAGGGAACTGCAATCATTGTAATGAAAGACAGAATGCGATTTGTTGAATGTAAAACTGATGATCTGCTCTGTAAACCTTCACTCAGTTCACAATAGTTTTTTAAAAAAAGAGGAAAAAAAGAAAACACCAAAATAGACATCAAAAGGGACTCTCTAAAACACATAGACAAGCTAAGCAAATTGAAGAAATGAGAAAGAGAGCTGAAAAGAAAATTTCAAAGGGTAGTTTCAGAAGACAAAGTATTATAATGAAATGTGCTGAGACTTGGAGTTAGAAAACCAAAACAAAAGAACACATTCAGCATTTCTTAAGCTGAAAGAACTGAAGAAAACATTCACGCCTAAACTTGCAATACTGAAAGATTCTATGGGCAAAATACTGAATGATGAAGGAAGCATCAAAAGAAAATAGAATACACAGTAACTGAATTAAAAAGAATGGGTACATGTTTAATCACTTCAAGTATTAGCATATGACATAGAAATGGTACTGAAGGAAGATGTCCAAGGTGACCACTGCAAAGAACAAGGTTCCAGGAACTGATGGAATACAAATCGAAATCTTGCAGTGAACTAACGCTGAACTGGAGGTACTCACTCATCTAAACTAGGAAATTTGGAAGACAGCTACCTGATCAACTGACAGGAGAGGATCCATTTCTATGCCCATTCCAAAGAGGTGACCCAATGGAATGTGAAAAATCACTGAAAAAATATCATCAATACTGAATGAAAGTAAAATGTTGCAACCGTACATCAAAAAGAAACGGTCAGAAATTCAAGTCAGACTTAGAAGAGGACATGGAAGTAGGGATTATCATTGCTGAAATCAGATAAATCTTGGCTAAAAGCAGATAATACCAGAAAGATGTTTACTTGTGGCTTTACTGACTATGCAAAGATAGCATGGATCAAGACAAACAATAAATAATATTGTACAGAATGAGTATTGCAGAACACTTAACTGTGCTCATGAGGAACCTGCACATAGACCAAGAGGCAATCGTTCAAACAAAACAAGGGAATCCTGAATAGTTTAAAAATAAGGAAAGGTGTGTGTCCCAGAGTTGTATCCTTTCACCATACTTATTCGATCTACATGCTGAACAAATAATCCAAAAATCAGGATTATATGAAGAATGGGGCCATCATTTTTTGATATGCAGATACAATCTTGCTTGCTGAAAGTTAAAAGGACTTAAATTACTTAATGATGAAGATCAACAACCACTGCCATCAGTATGGGTAACTCAATGTAAAGAAACTCAAAAATCCTCACAATGGGTCAAATAACATCATGCTAAATGAAGCAAAGATTGAAGCTGTCAAAGACTTCATTTTGCTTGAATCAGCCATCAACACTCATGGAAGTAGCAGTCAAAAAATCAAATGTGTACTGTATTAGGCATTAAAGTGTACAAGAGCAAAGATGTAAATTTGAGGACTAAGGTGTGCCTGCCCCAAGCCATGGTATTTTCAATAGTCTCATATGCATGTGAAAAATTGGAAAATGAATATGGAAAATCATAGAAGCATAAATACATTTGAGTTATGGTGTTGGAGAAGAATATTAAAAGTACTATGGACTGCCAGAAGAACAAACAAATCTGTTGGAAGACATGTAGCCAGAAAGCTCCTTAGAAGCCAGGATGAAGAGACATCCTTTCATCAACTTTAGACATGTTGTCAGGAGGGACCAGTCTCTGAAAAAGAACATCATGCTCAATAAAATGGAGCATCAACAAAAAAGAGGAAAACTGTTGTTGCAGGGAAGGGATTGCAACCATTGAGATGTAACAAAATGTATGTATGATTTGTTGAATGTAAAATGCTGATGATCTTGTTTTTAAACTGTCACTTAATTTATAAAAGAAGTTAAAAATTAAAAAAAGAGGAAGACCTCTCAACAAGGTGGGGTTGGCATGGTGGTGGCAGCAATAGGCTCAAGCTGTAACAATAATTGTGAGGATGGCACAGAATCAGGCAGTGTTTTGTTTTTGTTGTGCATAGTCGCTTCGACTTGATGGCTTCTAACAACTACAACAAAAAGCCCCCATTAAAATCCTGTGGCTTACATGCATGATGGGGCAGGCAATATACTATTGGAGGGAGGTTGGTAGAGGAAACATGGGGGTGGCAGAAGACATAGGGAGGAATGCAATGGTTAAAGTGAATAGAGGTAAATGCGGTTAACTGTTGGTACATGGAGGAGATACTTACTGTTTCTACTGTAATGAAGCCAAGTATACGATCTGTTGAATGTAAAACTGATGATCTGCTCTGCAAACCTTCATTCAAATTCACAATGAAAAGTTTAAAAAGAAAAATCCTGTGGCTTATGAGAGAATCTATCAACACTACCCCCACTTTAGAACCTAGAAAAGTCTCTGTATCTCCATTTAAAAAAAAAAAAGTCTTCTAAATTGACCTCTCAACCTTGCAATTGAACAGGCCAAGCAGATCCCCTCAGAAGCTACTTTTCAGAATGAACCTTACTCTTTGAATCATATTGGTAAACCCAAGAGTCATCTCAGTTACAATTTGTTCCATAACATTGTCTTCAATAGCTTTGATTTTGGTTAAAAGACTGAAAAGATTGGCAATATGAGCTAGTTCATCTTCATGCAACACTTCAGACACGCATCTAGACAAAAAGCTTACTGAGGTCCAGATGTGAGCTTACAACTAAAAATGCTGAACCACATGAGATCCCAACTTCAGTAACTGCATCAGTGTTAACTTTACAATCTTCCATCACAGTACCTGAACTTTAGCCACGGTTTCTTTTTCTTTTTTTCAATGTTTTTATTGTAAGGTTTACATGGAAGAATATCAGTTTGAAATTCATCCTATCGTATTTTGTTTCACTGCAATGATTACAATCCCCTCCCTCCGTGCATCATCAAATAACCAAAGGGTACACCCCACAGGCCCGCCCCCCAATTGTCAGCACACAGCCCTTCTCCCTCCCTGAGTTCAGTGTTCCCAGCTGCTCCATCTGTCCACATCATTGTCTCCATCTCCATCCCTGGCATCACTACCTCTCAGGGTCAGCAGTCAGCAGTTTGAAACTACCAGCTGCTCCGCAGGAGAAAGATGAGGCTTTCTGCTCCGGTAAAGATTTACAGCCTCAGAAACCCTGTACAAGGTCGCTATGAGTTGGAACTGACTCCACGGCACACAACAACAACAACCCAGGTACGCTGCTTTGAGCTGAGAGCTAACGCAAGCTTGGGGGTTTAAAACCATCTAGTGGTACATTGGAAAAAAGGCCTGGTATCATGGAATACACCCATGAGTTACAACCACAGCTCCACAACAATTAACAACAGCCCAGATATGAATTTCTACGCACACACAGAAAATGAAATACTATCATGAGTAAGAGGCAGAGGGAATGTTTTTTTTTAACATACCTTTCATCAGATGTCAGGTCAGCAGCTGGACAGTGAAGCGAAGAGAGTGGTAGTGTCCCCCGTGTTTCACTTCGAGAGCTTTCTGAGACAGGTTTTGTACTAGCAAATTCAATAACGTATTTCAACATGTCCGGGAGTGGGAATCGAGTTGGGCCTGAGCCATACTTCACATACCTAAGAGTAAGGACAGTGGTATTTTACTGGTCAGTCTGACAAAGACTTATTATCCACGGAGAGTCTATCCAAAAGGCTAAGCAATACCCAACAGGTTACACAAATCATCTATAAGGTAAAATTTCTCTAACTACAAAAGTTGAAATGGGTAACAACTGTTATAGTACCTGGGAGAAAACATTTCAAACGGGCTCCTAATAAAAGCCATACCAGTTAGGCTTCATATCATATTGCATTTAGTATTAAAAGTGCCCAAATTTAAAAATAATACTGGGTGTCCTAGTACCCAATGGATTTTCTTTGCTACCATTTCAACCAGGGGTGGGGAACATCCGTCCCGCAGGCCTCATAAAGCCGTGAAATCATTTGGTCTGGCCCTGCCAAGTCAACCGCAGTGTCAACCATTACATTGTTGTTAAGTGCCTACAAGTCTTTTCCGACCCACTGCGACCATGTGAGCTTCAGCTCAAACAGCTTTGCAGTCTGGTGCATTAACCCAAAGCACCACATTGTTGTTGTTGTTATGTGCCGTCGAGTCGGTTCCAACCCATAGCGACCCTATACAGGGTTTCCGAGGCTGTAAATCTTTACGGGAGCAGAAAGCCTCATCTTTCTCCGCGGAACAGCTGGTAGTTTCAAACTGCTGACTGTGAGATTAGCAGCCTGATTCGTAACCACTACGCTACCAGAGCTCCTTATTAGGGGTGAGTTAATTAAATGTTTGGTCAAATACAGCAAACTAATTTTTTTAATTTATAATTTTGTCTTGCTCGTGAATAATGTTATTAATCCTGGCAGAAAAAGGTTCCCCACCCTATTTTAGACCAACTACTCAGCTGTTCCTCAGAAACCCAACACAGGGTTGCTATGGGTCAGAATCAACTCGACAGCACTTCACAATAACAACTTTGTAATTTGGAGTCCTGGTGTGGTGTTGTGGGATAAAGCACTAGACTGCAATGTCAGTTTGAACCACTAGGTCAGTGGTTCAAGCTCACCAGCCACTCCTCAGAAACCCCATACAGGGTTGCTGTGGGTCAGAGACGACTCAAGAGCACTTAACAACAATAAATTCTGTAACTTATAAAAATTGGGAGAAGACTAAAAATGAAGTTCTGGTGTGGCACTGTAGGATGAGCACTGGACTGACAGCTAGCAGCACGGTGGCGGTTCAGATCCACCAGTCACTTCTCAGAAATACTATATAGGACCTCTATGAATCGGAACTGACTTGACAGCAGTTAACAACAGTAACTCCATACAACTTATTACTTATAATGTATCAGAGAAAAAAGGGTTTCAGAGAAGATGTCAACACTGTAAAAATATTTTCCGAATTATATTTTGTATCTTAAAGAAATTAACAGTGACTATTCTTATTTTTTAAATGACAACAGTAAAGAATATACCTGGTAAGAAAATTCAAACGACACAAAAAGTACATACCATAGTATTAAGTCATCTACCTCCTAACCCAATTATGCTGCCAGTATTGTTGCTAAGTGCCATGGAGTCGGTTCCAACTCATAGCGTTTCTGAGGGTGGCTGGTGGGTTTGAACTGCCAGCTTTGTGATTAGCAGTCCAGTTCTTATCCTTGTAGTTCTACCATTAATAATTTCTTATACATTTCCCCAGAAGTATCTCATACATATACAATTATGTGCAACTAAAAATAAAATACAAATTGTCTGAAATTTTAAGTCACTTCATTTTAAAATAAAAATGCCATAGGAAATGTTTTAGTATCTATTTTTAAATCTAAATAAGCCAGAACACCTTGTTAGTTAATGGAGAATTAAATATTTTTGAGCAATAAGATATTACGCATATCTGGTTCTATCAAAACAATAGATAATGTTCAGTCATATAAACTCTAAAACATTAAAATACTGCCTCATTTAGAATCCTACAAATCACTTCTAGGATAGTATTTAAAGACATCAATTCTCAGCTCAAATCTATAATAAGAAAAAAATATAAATGGTCACAATACATCTTGAGTAATCTTACTGAGTGTGAGAGGAAGTGAAAGGGAAAAAAAGCTACTGGTCTGGCTCAGGTCCCATTAAGGAAAATGTCTCCCAGGAAAAATAATGACCTAGAAATGCAGGGGTGGAAGGTTGTAGCAAAATTGTTAAGCAAAAGGCACAAAGGCACTGATAGTATTTAGGATTTCCTTAACTGTTAAATCAATCAAATCTGCAGACACTAGAGAGAGATCACATACACACACACACACAAAAAAAAAAGTTACAAAGAGTCAAAGATTTCACTGTAAGTGAAAAGACTGTGTGTGTGAAATATTAGCTCTTTAAAACAGCACTGCTTTCAGTTGGACAACACTGCATTTATTTCCGATGCTTCAGGACCAGCTTTCCCAAGAGTAACAGATCAGGGCAATGAGACACTTACCTCTCTCATGTTTGTGAACAGAGATGACAAGAGGAGTAAAAACAGAGTTCTGAGATCTGAACTCAGTTCTCCATGTTGTTGTTGTGATGTGCCGTGGAGTCAGTTCTGACTCATAGCGACCCTGGTACAGGGTTTCCAAAGTTATAAATCTTTACAGGAGCAGAACACCTCATCTTTCTCCCGTGGAACGCTGGTAGTTTTAAACTGCTGACCCTGAGGTTCATAGCCCGATTCGTAACCACTACGCTACCAGAACTTCTTAGTTCTCCATAGAACACTTGAAAAACCACCTGTATGATATGGTTATAAACTTCTGAGACCACTGTTTGCCCGTGGATAATATTAGCTAATCTAGAAAATTGAATCATTGTTAGAAAAAAGTTCTTCTTAAAATACCCTGTTGTTTAGTGCTATTGCATCAATTCTGACTCATAATAAGGGTTTCCATGGAGCAGGTGGTGGGTTTGAACCACCAACCTTTCGGATGACAGTTCAGTGCTTATTCTACAGTGCTACATCAGGAGTCCGTATCACAAATGCCTGAATGGGGACTTGAGCCCTGGACCCTCAGATTAAAAGTCTGATGCTCTACTGACTAATTATAGTTAAGACTTTTAATTAATTTTAAAATTTAAGAACAGCATCTGGTTTCAATATTTCTCTTTCACATTTCTCAGCACGAAGGTGTTGATGATTTATGACTCACCTGTCCAGTTTTTGTTGCAGAACTTTTATTTCCTCCTTCAACTTTCGAATACACTTTCTTTTACTTCGAATAAGCTCTCGGCTCCTATACATGTACCTAGGCAAATTGACAATACCAAAAGACAAGTTATATTTTAAAAACATTGAGGACAGACAAAACTGCTCAGAAAACTAGGAATGCAAGGAAAAGTTTCTCAATGAAATACAGGACATCGGCATAGTGAATCTGAGTCGGGCTGCTAATCTCAAGGGCAGCAGTTCAAGACTACCAACCATTCCATGAGAGGAAGATGAGGCTTTCTGCTCCTGTAAAGATTTATAGCCTCGGAAACCCTATTCAGGGTCACTATGCATCGGAACCGACTCCACAGCACACTACTACCACCACGTTATCAAATGAATTTCATTTTTGTCTGCTGTGTGGGACACAGCGCTTGTTATTACTCTTAAGTATGCTAATTAATATACAAGGTAGCAAGCACATTAAAGGAGTCCTGGTGTGGTGCTGTAGGATAAGAACTGGACTTGTAACCACAAGGTTGGCAGTTCAAATCCACTAAGTCACTCCTCAGAAATCTTCTACAGGGTCACTATGAGTCGGAACCCACTTGATGTCACTTAACAATATGATGAAGTTACAGCTAACAACACAAAAGACATGTGCACCAATTACAACTTAAATAAATGGAGATCAGTTCATGAACTGAACTACTGTTAAATTGTCAATCAATTCTCCCCCAAATTGGTCTATGTTGCTAAGTGCCTTCAAGTTGGTTTCAACTCACAGCGACCCTCAACAGGGTTTCCAAGGAGCAGCTGCTAGGTTTGAATTTCCGACCCTTATGGTTAGTAGTCCAGTGCTTATCCTACAGCACCACATGCAATCCTAACCCAAATCCTAACAGGTTTTTTTGCAGAAACTGCCCAATTGAAACTAATAAGCTACATAGACATGCAAAGGATGTAGAACAGGCAAAACAATTTGGAAAACAAATGAAGTTGGAAGGTTCACATTTCAAAATGTGCTAGGACAGAAATTCCGGTTTGAATCTCAGACTCACCGTTTGCTCCTCAGAAACTCTATACAGGGATGCTATGGGTTGTAACTAACTCTAAGGCACTTGACAACAACAACAACAATAAAGCTATAGCAATTAAGACACTGTAGCACTGGAATTATAATAAACATGTGCAACCATGGAAGAAAACAGAGTCCAGAAACAGATCCACACACAAATATAAGTTCAATTAATTTCTGACAGACATGACAAAGTAATTCAATGGGAGGAGGGATGTCTTTTCAACAGCAGATGTAGCAACTAGATACGCAAGTACTTCCCCTCCCTACCCCTTGAACAACCTTTTTATCTCCACCATATGTAAAATATAAACTCTAAATGAGTACCATAGCTAAATATGAGCTACAATGTCAAGATTTCTAGGAAACAATAGGCGAAACCTTTGTAATCTTGGACTGGCAAAGATTTCTCAGCTAGATCATAAAAGGTATTGACACATTAGATTTCATCAAAGTAAGAAATGCAAACTCTTCTACAGAAACTGGTGAGAACATAAAAAAGACAAACCATGAATAGAAAATACATGCAAAACACTTGTCTGATGAATGACTTGTATCTAAATCATATGACGAATTCTTACAACTCAGAAAGAATTAAAAACTAGAACAAATTATAAGAACACACACTTCACTAAAGAAAACATACAAAAGATCATGAAAAGATGTTCAGTATTAATAGTTATCAAGGAAATGCAAATATAAAAGAAAATGAAACACCACTACACAGTCACTAGAATGGCCCACCAGCTGTTCCTCAGAAACCCCATATAAGGTCGCAATGAATTGGACTCCACTTTCCGGCACTTAACAACAACAACCCAAGCAGTGATGGAGATTTGAAGCCAATGGAAGTCTCTCTCATAGTGTTGGCGGGAATGTAAAATTATATAGCCACTTTAGGGGACAGTTTGGAAATTTCTTGTAAAGTTTAAGATAAACTTTTCTTACAAGCAACTAATTCCATTTCAAGTTCTCAAGAGAACTAAAGCTAAGACACTAAGAACTATATGCAAATATCTGTAACTGTTATATTTATAAAAGCATAAAACTGGAAATATCTGAAATGTCCATCGATTGACTGGTGATTAGAAAAGATATTGTAGTATATCAATAGAATACTACCACCAGTTGCCCTCGAGTAGATTTCAACTCATAATAAGAAATGAACCACTCGTTTATACAGGATGAATAAGACCCCAAAACATTTTCCCAAGTGAACTTGAAGAAGATACTCACAATAGGGTACATATTGAATATTAATGTCATAAATTTGACATTCCAGAAATGATAAAATCAGAGGACCGGAAAACAAGTCAGTAGCTGCCACAGTGAAAGGAAATGACTACACGGGCACCAGATAAGGTTCCGAGCGATGGGACCATTCTTTGTCTTGACAGGGATGCTTGTCAAAACTCGTAGGTTGCACACTTAAGAAAGGCTGAATCTTTTTGTAATATACTCAACACTTAACAACATGATTTAATAAACCGGACCTTATAATAACTGAAACACTGTAATATAAGATTTGTCTAAGATAGGTCGATGGTTCAAACTCACCAGCTGCAACCCTGTACAGAATTTACATTCACACTGTGGATATGCCACTTACTGTTCTTTACCCCAAAAATAAAAACGTTCTCACCTCAAGACTAGTTTCTCAGTGTGGTCCACAGGTTAGAAGCATCATTAATTAGCTTCTTAAAAATGTGAAATCTTGGGACCCATCCTAGGATTTACTGGATCGAAATCTGCATAGCATCGAGATCTCTAAGACTCCTGTTTACATTATTCAACACAAGCTCATTTCTACTGTTTATATGAATGTTATCAGGAAGCTAACCAGATAAAACTCACCTGTCTATGTAAATAATCTGAGGAAATTCCAGCTTATTGTGAATCTTCTCTGGCTGACCAAGTGATTGATTGAACTCAAATCTTGAGAGTTCAAAGGTCAACACCGGAGGTAGCTTTGTAAACCAACACTATGTCAGAAGTAGAAATGTGGAAGAAAAAAAAATTAATTTTAGTAAATAGCAATAGCTACATTTAAAATATCCATCTAACTTTTCTTTAGGGTTATGAAATTTGTATTTCAAACTCACACTGAAGCATTTTTTTCATCCCAGACACTAAAGAAAATGAACACTTAGCATTATGCCTTCTGAAAAAAATAGTAAGCATACCTCAGAAACCTAAATTTACTAGCTAGTCAACAGCTTTTCACAACTCTCATCCTCAAAAATAATCAACCTTCACTATGTGAATCCACACAACTGAGTATGTCATCAGCATTCAGAAAAGATTCAAAATCTAAAGAAAACTTCTAGACAAATCAAAGCATTGGAAAGACTGAGCTAAGCAACACAGAACTAAGAAAGGAAAGAGCTGTCTCCCCAGGCAGCTACAATGACTGTATATGTGTGTGTATTGTGTACAACTTATCTACTGTTACCCATAGCTTAGATTCCCTTATATCTAAAAGAGAAACTTTAAATTGCCTCGTGATTATGATTTCAGGTTTCTGTGAAAATCTTTGAAGTCCAAGAGTTTGCAAATGTTTCAGAAGGAACCCAGTCAAATCAACCTATAATATGCAACACCCTGAATTTAAAAATAAAGCACTGACTTTTCAAAAAAAGAGTTCCAGCTGCCACTCAAGATCAGGCAAACTAAGACAGGAGAGGCATGTCTGCTCAGTTTGCCTGTGTGCGAGAGGTTCATGTCAGCAGGTTTTCAAATGTTCCCTTTACCACAGATGCAAATAGTTACATTCCCTTCAACATGCTGTGGGCACTACAAGGTGAATTCAGATAGCCAGAGGACTGCTTAATCACCTCAGGGCTAAATCTAAATAGGCATCATTTTCTTTTACTCTCTTCCTTTGTTAAATAAACAGTTCCCATCCTTGAATCTCTTCTCCTTTGTAAGTGAATGCATCCAGTCTGCAGAGATGGTACACATGATACACAGATGTGTCCCATCAAGAACGAG